TCTAGTGACATGCAGGCCTTTGGAGTAGCAGTTAAGGAGCGGGCCATGGCCTTTGGCCCCCCAGCATGGCCCTGGGCCTAGGGACTGGCTATAGTGACCTAGGACCTATTTCCCAAGGACGTGTTTATTGGAACCACAGGGGATAGGGCCGCCCAGCAGACTTGGGACATCCAATGTCCTGCAGCTGGTGTAGGTCAGGTGCCTCCAAGCCTGACCTCTGGGGGCAGTGGGCGGTCTCAAATGTTCCCCCAGCACAGGGGACACAGGTCTGGGGGATAGTGCTCTGAGAAGCCCTAGACTGCTGCTGTCAAGTGATTTTCTCTGAGGGAGGCTTAGTCTCTTGGGGCAGCAGGAAGACAACTCAGCCTGCCTCACCGACAGTGCAGTGCTGGGCACAGAGCAAGTACTCAATTTATATTCATCAATAAACCTTAGATCTAGACCAGGCTGTCCCACCAAGGACTGGTCCAGCCTCTGAGGAACTGTTGTGAGGGAAAGGGAGAGGAGAAGGTGGGGACTCAGAGGCTCTACAAAGTCCCAATCAAGAGCTGTCTACTCTAGCTCCAGAATCATGGCCCTTTGGCCTGGCAGATGCCTCTGCCTGGGGGTCCAGCAGAACCCCTAGCCCTAACCTATTTTTTTTTTTTTTTTTTGAGTCAGAGTCTCACTCTGTTGCCCAGGCTGGAGTGCAGTGGCACATTCATGGATACCACAGCTTCAATCAGCTGGGCTCAGGCAATCCTTCGGCCTCAGCCTTCCAAGTAGCTGGAACCACAAATGTGCACCACCGTGCTGGGTTAATGTTTTGATTTATTGTAGAGATGAGGTCTCACCAAGTTGCCCAGGCTAGTCTCGAACCCCTAGGCTCAGGCAATCAATCCTCTCGCCTCAGCCTTCCAAAGTGCTGGGATTACTGGTGTGAGCCACCATGCCTGGCCTTAACCTTGTCTTGTTCAGTGTCCTTTATGTAGAGTCTGGTGGCACTTCCAGCGGGTCACCACAGCCTGGCATGGAAAAGCCTGCTCTTCTCCCTCCACTCCACACCAAGTAGTCACAGCTTGCTAACACCTCACCTCGGCTCCTCCAATACTGCTCCTTTCCGAGACCAAGACTGCAGCCTCCTAACTGGCTTCCCTGCCTTCCTCCTATCAATCTATTTCTCCACAGCGAATGCAAATCAAATCAGTTCACATCTCATGTTAACAGAGTGAAGGTGTGTAGGGTGTCCTCCATGTGCCAGGCTCATGATTCTCACCCACTGCTTGTCAGAAAGCTGCATATGGAATCCTGTGGCCCCACTGTCCTCTGCTTTCCCTGCTGCTCCTGCGTTCCGGTGTGACTGCACAGGTGGCCCTCTCTAGTCCCTTCTGCCCTCCCCCTTGCACCCTGCCACCAGCCACCCCATGTGGCTTCCTAAGTTTCTGAGTCTGCTCCTGCAGCTCCCTTGGCCCATGCACTCTCCCTCCTCATCTCACCGACTCTTACTCAAATCCCTGGAGACTCAGTTCAGGTATCACCTCCTCCAGAACCCCTTCCTGATTCTCCTCAACACAGTCTCTCCTTAACGCACCGAGCACTAATCGCCTGCTTCCTTGTCAGTGTCTCCCAGGAGACTGCTCCGACCCTGGGCTAGGCACAAAGTGGGGGCTCAATAACCCCCTGTGGGCGCCTGAATGAATGAATGGACAGCAGAGCCTGCAGTGAGCTGGAGGCCGGAGCGTGCCGGAGTGGAATAAGGCGGTGGGCCGGCAACTCATGCTCCCATTCGCCTCCGAGTCCCCAGCCCGCCACACTCGCACGCGCGCAGGCACGCTGGGGCCACTGGCGCGGCTGGGCCCCAGGGCGGAGAACGGGAAGGGGCGGGGCTCAGCGGCTTCTCCGGAACCAGGGGCAGAGCCGGGCTGCGGGAGGGGCCCGAAGGGCGCACTGGGTGCCGGGGTCCCGCAATCCAAGCCGCTCTTCTCTGCCCTCACGTTACCCGCAAGTCATCTAAGTCCCCACCAGACTGCGTCCTGGAGCCTCCGGGTCCGGGGACCTCTTAGGGGCCAGGCTGACTGACCCTCGGCCCCAGCGATTCCCAGCCCGCGACCCCCGCTTCCCGCACAGTAGCTCCGACGAGCTCGGCGCCCGGCCGCCCGCTCTTTCTCCCAACCCTCCTGCCAGCGGAGGCCTCACGGGGCCTTGCG